TTTAAGCTGATATAGTTTTAAAAGAAACAATTAAAATCACTTAGAATGCGTAAAGAAGTGTTTTTACAGTATTTTAATCGATACAAACTTCTTTTAATCGATTAAAACCCTTTATGACCGATTAGAATTCGAATATGACGAGTCGGAATGAAATATAATCGATCAGACTTTAAAAATGAGCGTTCAGATTTATTTTAATCGATTAAAACACGTTTTAATCGATTAAAACCACTTTGGAAGTCAGGATGATCGATCAGAATGAAATTATGACCGATCGAAGTTGGTTATGATCGATCAAATTGAATTATGACCGATCAGACTTATTTCAATCGATTAAAACAAATTTCAATCGATTAAAATGACTTGAAAATTTTTGTACGAGTTTCAATCGATTAAAACGCATTTCAATCGATTAAAATAACTTGGAAAATCTTTGTACGAGTTTCAATCGATTAAAACGCGTTTAAACCGATTAAAACAACTTAGAAAAATTCAGTGCAGGTTTTGAATCGATTAAAACTTCTTTGTATCGGTTAAAATAACTTGAAAAGTTTTATAAGAAAGTTTTAAAGTAAATCAATCGATTAAAACACGAATCAATCGATTGAATCACTCTCGAAAAATGTTTGTAAAATGTTTTAAGCGATATAAACATGGTTGTATCAACTAAAACCATTCTGTTAAAGAAACAAGAACGCATTAATGGGTTGAAAGGACTTTTAACAGATTATAACGGCTATTTCAACAGATTAAAACAAACTTTCAACAGATTAATTAATGCAGTAGATTTGAAAATTCTCTTTAAAAAGCAGTTTTGCTTGAAATTTTTAAACAGAGATTGAACATCGGTTTTAAACATCCAAAGCAATCAATTCAAGCAAGCTGTTAAGCATCCTTTTCCAAGAAAGATTCGTAAATGCTTTGTGAACTTCTTTTGAAATCTTTCTTGAGGCACTTTTGCATTCTTTGAAGGAGGAACTTACAGTGGATAAGCGTAATCCGGTTTGAGCTTTCTAAGTTTCTTCTTTTCATTTCTATTCATTCTTTTGTACTGTTTTGTACCTAGAATTTGGGTACAAGTTTTCTGCAGCTGGTAGGTGGTTGTAAAAGTTTCCAAGAACTGGAATTTGGTTCTTGGTGGAGAGGTTGAGTACGAGAGCTGGAATTTGGTTCTTGTACTTGTGTGGTGCCTGGAATTTGGGTACTTGGTTTCTCTGCTATTGGAATTTGGTTGCAGAGGTTATCAAGAGCAGGAATTTGGTTCTTGGTGGAGAGGTTGAGTACGAGAACTGGAATTTGGTTCTTGTACTTGTGTGGTGCCTGGAATTTGGGTACTGGTTTCTCTGCAGCTGGAATTTGGTTACAGAGGTTATCAAGAGCTGGAATTTGGTTCTTGGTGGAGAGGTTAAGTGCAGGAACTGGAATTTGGTTCTTGTGTTAGATTAGGTGTAAGATTGTTGAGTCTGTAAAACATCTATTCTAGTGGAACCCAGCTGGAATTTGGCTGGAGACTAGACGTAGCCCTGGTATTGGGTGAACCAGTATAAAATTACCGGTGAAATCTTTCCTAACCTTTCTCTCTTTAATTTCAGTTGCTGCGCTTGTATTGTTTAATTGCTTTGTGATTCGTGAATTGATTAGTAAACTTAATTTTCGAATTAGATAATCTGTGAATTGTGAAAAACTTTCAAAGATCAATTCACCCCCCCTCTTGATCTAAAACTACTTTTCTAACAATTGGCATCAGAGCGAGGTGCTTGAAAGTTACTCAAGTTACTTCGATCCATGGCATTTTCTGAGGGAGCGTACATTGATAGACCTCCACTATTATGTGGAACAGATTACCTATTTTCTGAGGGAGCGTACATTGATCCATGCCATTTGTCGCTGCCGTCAATATTTTAACCAAAAACATTGGAAAAGGAAAAAAGAAGGCGATGGTTTTAAGAAAAACCAACTTTGGTCATTACAACCAGAGTTAGGTAAGAGAGTTAGTTACGTGCGGAGAAGGTACTAGCTTCCCCACGACGCCCCTTTCAGGTTCCCTATGATGGACTATTTATTGTAAAGAAATAAGAACATAAAAATCATGTTTTTACCCTTATTTATTCATTACAAATTTTAAATAATTGACTACATGACTCTAATATCTAATGCATAGAGAAGGTAATAAAAGCGATAAAATAAAGAGAATAAGAGATGTAAAAACCTCCAAAGTAAGCTTTTAGATATATTCTTGTAAAGGACACTTTTTGGCAAACCCGACGCTCTACAATGTTGCTTACTCTTCTACCGAAAGACTCTAGAATGTCTAAAAAGAACCCTAGGACTCTGGAAATGCTTCAGAGAGATTTTAGAAGAGTATATGAGGATCAAGTTAGCTTGAGAAGTTGTTGAAAACGAGGAAAGGAGCCCCCATTTATAGAAATTTGTGCCCATGAGATTGGGACAGTCGTCTCGCCACCTTGAGGTCAAGATGGCTGTCTCACCAAGTGACGAGAAGGCGGTCTCGACCCATAAGTGGCGAGACGACCATCTCGAGGTTCCGGGCGAAATTTTCTTATTTTTGTGTACGTAAAACTTTCCTATTCTAACATGGAGCCTAGTAAGCATGCTTAGGGACCTTTGAGACCTTGTCCATCTTTGAACGGAAGTCTTCTGTTCTTTATTGTGAGGCCGAGCAAGATTTGGGGTCTACACCTATGCATAGACAAGACCTGGCAAGCAAGAGCCAACATCCCCAAAGGGAACATCAGCCTATTCAGAGGCAAAATAGTGCAACCAAAAGTCTTCACTCGCAATGAAACATACACCTACTCAGAGGTATTATCCAAAACAACAAATCCCCAGTGGATTCCTGCCTACCCCAGAGGCAATTATCAAAAATCCCCGACAATTAACAAGTTGGATGGCTATGGTAAAAGCCCAAAAACAAAGAATCCCCCGTAAATTAACAAGCTAGACAACTATTGGAAAAGCCCAAAAATCAAGAAAATCCAGACGATCGACAAGTAGGATGACTATGGTAAAAGCCCAAAAGCAAAGAATCCCTGACAATCAACAAGCTGGATGACTATTGGAAAAACTCAAAAAGAATTAAGAATCCCCAACAATCAACAAGCTGGATGGCTATGGAAAATTCCATAAATAAAAAATCCCCAACAATTAACAAGCTGGATGACTATTGGAAAAATCCAAAAAATCAAAAGAATCACCAGCAATCAAGAAGCTGGATGGCTAGTGTAAAAGCCAAAAATCAAAGAATCCCTGCCAGGCCGGATGACTACAAAAGAAAAGTAAAAAACAATTTCAAACAAAACTACTCCCCATGGAGTTTGCGTGTGACCAAGATCAGTAAGCCGCTACCACAAATTTCAGCCCGAGTCTTACAAAAGGGGACTCGAACCAGTCTTACAAAAGAGGATAGCAAGCCAGATGAGGGTTCATACTCATCAGCGAGTCTTACAAAAGGGGACTCGAACCTCACCACATACTCACCACATATATCATATGAACTTATATACTCACCACATATATCATATGAATTTATGTTTACTTCAATCCTTAAACATATTAAAACTTTTCCATACTTTTATTTACAATGACAACAAAAAAAAAAAAGAAAAAAAGTTACAATCCTATAATCTTATATAATAAATTTTTTTAATAAATATTAATTAGATTAAATTTATATTAAAATTAGAAAAATATAAATTTTTTAAATAATATTTGTTAAAAATACTTTAAACTGAAATATATAATAGTTTTATTTTTAAAATTATTATAAATAAATTAATAAAATATTATCAAATAATAGATTTATAGCATGTATGAATATACGATAATAAAATAGATGAATATATATATATATATATATATATATATATATATATATATATGTAATATTGAAATATTTATATTTTATTTAATTAAATCATATATTAATAATAAACAAAGTCATCATTCTATCATATTTTAAAAAATATTTTCTATGAAATCCTCTCGAGGATATGCTTCCTCCTCAAATAATATAAATTTACTATTTTGAAAATCAAATCAGAACGCCTGATTCAATCAGTTGATTAAACCAAAAATTAATTAGAAATTGATATATTATTTTTAAATAATCGAATTTTAATTAAATCTGATAAAATCAATAAAATTAAAAAAGTAGTTAAATTTTTAGGTTAAATAGATTTTGGTAAAGAAAATTAGAATCAATTTTTCTAATGTAATTTTTTTTATAAAATATGTAATATATTTTAGTTCCTTTTTATCTCATATTAATTATATTAATTTTAAATAATATTTATTTTATTATATTTTTATTTTATTTTAATAATTATTTATTTTTTTAATATATTTTATATTTATAATTTTATTATAATTTAAAATAATCATGACAATAATTTTTATTATAAAAATATTATTAATAATAAATTTATTATATTATTAAAATATTTTTTATTAAATGTGGTTTAACTCTTGTAAAATTTAGTTAATCCTAATCTTATGTCTTTACCAATTTGGTAATGGGTTTCATTTTAAAAATATTATTACAAATTTTCATATTTTAGATGAGTATTTTCTTCCTATAGCAACTAAAAATAATTAAAGTTAAGAAATATTTTATATTTTGTGAAGCTCTTATTTTTATTTTAACTTATCAATAATTTTTAAATAGAAAAAAATTATGCCGATGATACCTTGCTCTTTTACATAAACGAGATCATATATGCAAGAAGAAAGAAACAAGTAAAAAAGTGAAAGAAATAGTACTTTTGTATTCTGTTTATGTTTTTATTTATTTTCGTTTATTTATTTTTCTTTTTGTTTATTTAATCTTTATTTTGCTGAACGTCTCTTTACTTCAATCTTTTATGCAAAATTTCACCTATTTTCTTCCGTATTTTCCTTTGAGCTGTAGTATAAGTGACGTCAAGAAATGGGTCGCTGCCGAGCTGCATCGGCGTCGGCGCCGGCGTCGGGCCCCGCCGACGATGACCCCAATCACAGGTTTCTTTCCTTTTCGATTAATATTAGTGCTTCTCTTTCCATTTTCGCGTTTCCACTTTCCTAACTGTGAAATTAACCAAGCTTGGTGACAAGGGAAATCAATCAAGCAATAAGTTGCGACGCTCAAAATAAATTAATCGAGGGTTTCGAGTTTTTCACAGACTTGATTCACTGGACTCAGGAGGTGTCATGTCATGTGTTCTAACAATATAAATAGTGTATCTTGTTACTTCAATAGTTTCTTCTGAATATAGAAACATTGGTTTCTCACAAAACACTATTATATTTTGTGTTTCTCTTGAATCTTAACAATATAGTTTGATTTTCTCGTCTCATGAATCTTAACAAGGAGATATGTGGGTGGCGAGGTGATGAAAAGAATTTGGGTGTACAGGGATTAGGGTTTTAGTTTGAAGACTACATACAATCTTTATCGAACAAAGTGAATCTTCTCTTTGTTTTGTAAGTGACTCAGGCCTCTACTTGGCAATAATACAAAAAATGTTAAATTTTGGGCGTATATTTAGGTATTAGTTGCGAGGAAAATTCAATCAATGTGTTTTAAGGTTCTTCTATAATTGCAGCTTGTTATTATTTATGCAAGAAAACATTTTTGTGGTAAAATATCTTGGCAAACATATATTTAAGGAAGATATTTAGGACTATCTATGATCGTAGTTGAAAATGTTGAGGAAAATGGAGTTGTTTTAGATTTTTGTTTGTGCGCACATCCTTGGATACATTGAATATTCTTCTGAATGCTTCCTGCTAGCTGTTACATATTTTTATTGTAATGTTGTTTCTTTCAATGCTTTACGTTTTTAGATTAAAGAGAAAAAAGGCTGCTCTGAGTATAGAAAATTCAGAAACTTTTCCTACAGGTGATTTTGTTATTATCACATAGCTGCCCTCCTCCCAAAAGGTCCATTAACATATTCTATAACGCTATTTTCTAAATGTGGTAGGCCAAGGAATAACTAATAGCAAGGTATCTCTTTATCACTGTAATTATTGTAACAAAGATATTTCGGGGAAGATTCGCATCAAGTGTGCTGTGTGTCAAGATTTTGACCTCTGCATAGAGTGCTTCTCAGTTGGTGCTGAGGTGACACCTCACAAGAGCAACCATCCATATCGAATAATGGTAAACCTTCTAAGCGTTGTTCCTATTCATATTTATTGTATTACTTTACAGAATTTGCATCTTAATATTTTTCTTTAAGATATTGGTTGTGAATTGTAAAATTGGAGAAACTAAGAATTAAAGACTTAAGAGTTCTTCCATTATTGATTTTCTGATTCTCTCAACAGAGAGTTCAGGTATTTATAGTACAGGATTAGAAGCAGTTATATAACTGCTTGTTACAGAATTGACAGTTACAATATCAAAAAAGACAACTATAATTACAGAAATGACAGCTAGGTTAACAAACTGCAGCTGACATAAATAACTACAGTGGGCAGAGCTAATCACAACAGAAGTTATAACACTTATATACAATCATATATACTCTATGATTTATTTATTTATTTTCTTTTTAAAGGCTAAAGTGTTTTTTGATTATTGATTTTCTGAATCTCTCTAAACGGACTGTTCAGGAATGTATATTGTTTTTGCTAACTGCTTGTAATCAAATTGACTGCTATGGTAATTGCTTGTAATGGGAAAGACAGCTATGATACCAGAAAGAACAACTAGGATAACAACTGTAGCTGACATGGCTAACTATAGCTGGCAGAGGCTAATCTATTTCTCACAACAGAAAGTTAAAACACTTAGATTATGTTTAGATTTTGCAATTTGAAGGAAATTAAAATACATTAAATTTGAATTTCTTTCAATTCAAATTGTTTCACTTTTCAAATGCTTTATTTGGATAAGATAATTAAAATTTACTGAATTTTAATTTTATTATTTGGATAGAGTATTTCAATTACTATCAAATACAATTTTTTTTTTATATTAAACAATAGTTAATAATTCAAAAATATTAGTGATGGTGATCGAGATTATTTTTTGGTCAAGTTTGTCAAGGTGTTTTAGCTGATCTTGATAAGGGTTTTTCTTGATTAACATCAACCAATATTAAAATTGGCTAACTTGTTTTTTCAACGTCATTTGTTTAGGTTATTTTTGGTTGACTTTGACTGATGTACGCTGAAAATCTCCCCTAGTTGATGATATTGGCCAGAAACAATCCTAGTCAAGGTTGGTCGAAAGTATCCTTAATTAACATTAAAAAAAAATCTAATTGACTTTGGACAGAAAATAACATTGATGACACCAATCATGAAAGACCTAACTTATATTGGCTTGTTATCAAATCGAGATTCCAATTGTGAATCGTTTTCACGATTTTTTTGAATCGTGAATCAAATCTTATTATGAATCATGAGATACATGATAAATAAAATATGATATTTTTAAGGAAAAATAAGTGATAAAAAAAGATTAAAAGTAGCATATATTATAATGAAGTCAAAATGTTCAATCCATAGAACCAAAAGTCACTTAAATCCTATATCTCAACTTTAGGCTTTCATTCATCATGGTGCACTTTAATGGCTTCCGTCAGGATTAAAAAAATTAAAATAAAAAAATTCTGAATTGAATGTTAAAGTAAAAAAAAAAAAAATGGTGCAGTGGTGCATACAATGGGTCATGGGTACAATTTTATGGCATGTGTCAGCGGATTAAAAAAGGGGTGCTGTATTACTTTACATTGCAATTAAAAAAGAGGTGCAGTATCAATGCACTTTACATTGCAATGTTAGTAATAAAAAATAATAAAAAAGCAAATTTACAGTACAAGGTCATAAACAGAAAAAAAAGTAAATGTCATGTTCAATTTCAATTAGAAAAAGCAATTTTTTCTTTTACACTGCGCACTCTCACCTTTCTTCTTCTACACTACACACTCTCACCCGCCGCATTTTTCTTCTCACTGCTGTGTTGCACCCTTTTTCATTTTTTTTTTGTGTAACTTCGCTTCAGCCGTTCGCTTTGTTTCTTTCGCTTACCCATCACTTATTTTTTTCACTAAAAGCACACATTTTTGAATCGTGCACGACAAAGTTGAATCAAGAATCCCATGATTCAAGTTTGATTCATCCGATTCAAGCTTCAATTCAAAGCATAGAATGATATATTCAATAAATTGTATCACAAAGTAAGATTTTTGAAACAAATTGTGATTCGAATCGTACGATTAGTGCGATTTTGACTACCATGGTCCCCTCGACATTAACCAAGAAAGGCTTGACTGATGTTGATTGGGAAATAATCATGACATGATTTATATTATAGGAATAATATCACAACAATGTCAATATAAAAACCTATCAACTCAACACTATAAACCCTAACTTTGTTCAGGTGAAAAATAATCCCATCAACCGACATCGATGAAAAACCCTAGCTAATATCAGTAGAAATAACATTACCAAAGTTGGCTTAGGAAACCTTGAGTAATATCAATTAAGAAACAACCTCAATCTATGTTTAATTAAAAATAACACTGATCGACGTTGGCCAAGAAGAAAACCTCAACTAAAAATAACCTTAGTTGAGGTCAACAAAAGAACCCCAAAACACCGCTGAGATTGACCAAGATAATTCTTACTAATGTCAACTAAGAAATAACATACAAAACAAAAAATTAATTTTGGTGATGTTAGTCAAGGTTAACCATAATTGACTATGGCATTAATGAAAACTTAGTCGACATTAGTCAAAAACAATGATGAGTTGACATCATCCTAGTTGAGGGTGAGTTAACAACATCTTGGTCGAGGTTGAGCTGAGAAGAGACATGCATCAAAGAAAGGAGAGAGTATAAAGAACCTTTTTATGCCCAATTTGAAATTTTATAATTTTAAGAAATCAAATTATAAATATTTAGAGCTTCAATTTTAGTAAAAATTCCGTATTGTACAATATATTTTATCATAGAACATTTCAAATTCTTTATAAAAATGAATCACTCTCTAAAATTCCTTCATCGAACATACTAGTAAGCAAATATACAATACATATACACTATTATGAATGATTGACAAATGCTTCTTCCTTCCTTCTTGTGCTTATCTTTCCTTAACATAAAATTTTCTTTCCTCGTAAGAATGTAGTACTTTATTGCTTGACAAACTAATCGGTTAATACTTTGTTGAATAATTACTGGACATTGTTGGATAATAAAGATGCGAGCAATTTTTCTTGTAAATTTTGTGCATTATTGCATAAATGATGATAGCAAATTTTTTTATTTTGAAATATTTTTCTGAATGCACATGATTTTTCTTTCCTTTTTCTTCACTTTATGGTCTTCACAAGAAAATAAAAACAGAATGAGAGTTCTCAGCTTTGTCGATATGCATGCTATCATAACACAACATTTTGCAATAAAAGTAATAAAATTTCCTTGTGTACACGGTTCCAGTATAGAGCATCCATTTTCATGGTTAATATATTTATGTATTAATTTAAGTTTTAAATTGATTTTTTTTTTGGGTACAGGATAATCTATCTTTTCCACTTATATGTCCTGATTGGAATGCAGATGAAGAGATGTTACTTCTAGAGGTACGTGATTTAAGTATGGGGAACATTTTTTTTTTCTTTTGCATTTCATATGTTAAATTATGTTGTTATCTAAAATTGTGTTTCTAAACAAATTTTTTTCATAGGCTATTGAGATGTATGGATTTGGGAATTGGAATGAAGTTGCAGAATATGTTGGAACAAAGAGCAAATCTCAATGTAATGACCACTATAATGCTGTGTATATGAATTCGCCATGTTTCCCTCTCCCTGTAAGATAGTTTGGGAACTATGTCATTAATAGTTTAAATTCAACAATCATTTAAATGCACAGTCTAACTGGTCATATGCTCACCCAGGATTTGTCTCATGTTATGGGAAAGAGCAGAGACGAACTTTTTGCCATGTTCAAGGGACATGAAGCCAAAAAAGGTTTGTTTCTTGACGAACTAAAATCATAGCAATGGGGGAATCCACCCTCTTAAAAGCTAGCTGTTAAGGGAGAAAACCAAATAGTTAAATACTTCACTGAGTACCCCATAATATCCCAGTCCATACCATTGTTTTACATTTTAAAACCTATTACATGTTATTCCGGCAGAATTTTCTTCAACTGCAGAGCTTATGCTGAAAGAAGAGCCTCCCTTCTCTGATGGAATAAGGTACTTCTCTTGTGATTATTTGAATCAATCATTTTTGACTCTGCTAATTCTTTGGTGTCACATCTCAGCTATGAAGAAACAAAGATGGCAAAATTCAATAATCAAGCCATCTCTAGGTTGACCTCAGGTACTTCTATATAGTGTGACAAAAGTCTGGTTTTATCATTTTGTCCTGAAAATTTAATTGGGTATAATTTATATACATGATACGGATTCAGCATGTGGCAAATCTTACTCAAGCACAATTAAGAAGGCTTCCAACTTCAGCCAAAATAATGATGAAGTTAAGGTTGAAGGTATGCTTTCTGAAGAATGCTGTGTGAAATACTGCTTCTTCATTTTTTTTTTTTAGGAAGTATTTCTTTTTATATGTTTGTTGCTCTTGACAAAATGTAAACATTTGTCTAGTTTAGAAATTTTGGATGACTAAATTTAAACCCCTAGACTTCATATTCTTAAAATATTATTAAAGAGCATCAATTTTCTTAGAAGATTATTATTCCATAATTCGTGCATTGGGTGATAATTTTTTAGATCAACACTGTTGAATATAGAGAAAATATGGTTTGGAATTAATTTTCCTTGTGTATAAATCACACATAGGGTAGTCTATTTATAGTAGAGATATACAACTAAAAGAGTAACTGAAAGTAACAGAATAAACAGAAGATATTGTTTGATATTGTGGTTACCAATATCTAACAATATCTTAACAATATCAAATAATATATAAACAATATCTAACACTCCCCCTCAAGCTTGGAGCATACAAATCGTATGTGCCAAGCTTGTTACAAATATAATCAATTCTAGGACCCAGTAAAGATTTAGTAAAAATATCTCGCTAACTGATCACTTGAGTTAACAAACTCGAGTCTTGATATCTCCGGACATAATCTTTTCTCGAATAAAATGACGAGTCAATCTCAATGTGTTTGGTCCTCTCATGAAAGACAGGATTAGAACTAATATGAAGAAGCGACTTGATTGTCACACACAAGTGTCATTTGAGTGACATCTCCAAATTGTAACTCTCTAAGCAATTGCTTGAGCCAAACAAGTTCACGGGAAGCTGAGGCCATAGCTCTATATTCGCTTCGCACTGGATCTTGCCACAACACTTTGTTTCTTACTTTTCCATGAAATCAAGTTACCACCAATGGAGACACAATATCCAGGATGTAGATCTTCTATCCGAAGGAGATCCTGCCCAATCGGCATCCGAGTAGCAAACAACTCTTGTATGGTTATTAGAAGCATATAACAATCCTTTTCCAGGAGATCCTTTAATATACTTCAAGATACGAATGACTCGCATTCCAATGATCTTCACATGGTGAATTAAGAAATTGACTTACCACACTTGACTGCAAAGGAAATGTCGGGATGAGTAAGCTGTAAGATAATTCAATTTTCCAACCAATCTTCTATACTTGCTCAGGATCAGATATAGACTCCCCCGATTTGGTAGAAGTTTAGTATTGGGATCCATGGGTGTATCAACATACTTTGAACTCATCAACCCAGTTTCCTCCAAAATATCTATGGCATACTTCCTCCGAGATATAACAATACCATCATTGGACTGTGCTACCTCAATACCCAAGAAATATCTAAGTTTGCCAAGATCTTTGGTCCGAAAATGGTGACAAAGATGTTGTTTCAAGCTGAGAGATGCCATGGTTGTCACTACCTGTAAGAACAATATCATCAACATATACTATCAAGTAAACACATCCGAGCACTCGAGTGTCGATAAAAGACAGAATGATCTGATTCACACCGAGTCATACCAAATTGTTGAACAACCTTGCTAAACTTTCCAAACCAAGCCCTAGGAGACTGTTTTAGGCCATATAGGGATTTGCGAAGACGACATACCATCCCGGAAGACTCCCCCGAGCAACAAACCCAGGAGGTTGCTCCATATATATTTCTTCTTGCAAATCACCATTGAGGAAAGCATTTTTAACATCCGAGTTGATAAAGAGGCCATTGTTGAAGAGCGACCATGGCGATAAATAAACGAACAGAAGCCATCTTTGCCACAGGGGAAAAGGTATCTCCATAATCCAACCCAAAAATTTGAGTATAACCTTTGGCCACAAGACGAGCTTTGAGGCGATCAATAGTACCATCGAGTCCAACTTTGATAGCAAACACCCACCTGCAACCAACAACAGATTTCCCAGACGGTAACGGGACCAATTCCCAAGTTCCACTATTATGAAGAGCACTTAGTTCATCTAACATGGCCTGACGCCAACCAGGATGGGCTAAAGCTTCACGGACGAGTTTTGGAATGGTCACGGAAGAAATAGAGGAAAGACATGTATAAAAAGGTAATGACAGTCGATGATAACTCAAAGCAATATAATGGGGAGAGGGATTACGTGTAGAACGAATACCTTTTCGGAGGGCAATGGGAAGGTCAGACTCATGTGTCAGATCCGGAGGAGACAGAGTAGTTGGCACTTGAGTAGAGTCACATGGTGGTGGTTGTGATTGGTTTCGAGAACTATAAATCTGAAGAGGCAGTGGAGAAGAAGCTAACTGCGGAGCAGGAACTAATGGTGAAGAAGACACAATTAGAGGGTCACAAACAACAGGAACATTAAATGTATTAGGAGTGTTGACAAGATTGGATGGAGACAGAGGTGAAGTTTGACTTTTAAAATAAAGAGACAACTCATCAAAGGTGACATCTTTTGACACAAAATAACGGTTAAGAGAAGGAGAAAAACATTTGTATCAACATGTAGACCCGAAAACTTTCAGAGGTAAAGGATGAAGTGGTTCATGAGGGAATAAAATGGAATGAGGTATTTTATTATCTAAAACCGAAGAAGGCATGCGATTAATGAGATAACATGCAGTAAGAAGAGCATCACCCCAAAAATGTTGAGGAACATCTCCATGAATTAAAAGTGTGCGAGTTGTTTCAATAAGATGTCTATTTTTACGTTCAGCTACACCATTTTGTTGAGGTGTATAAGCACAAGAAGTTTGATGCAAAATACCGTGAGAAGCCATGAATTGTTTAAAAGAATGAGAAAGATATTCACGGCCATTATCACTACGCAAAACTCTAATAGAAACACCGAACTGAGTTTGAATTTCATTAAAAAAAGTTTGAAAGATATGAAATAATTCAGAACGATTTTTCATCAAAAATAACCAAGTGCATCTGGAATAATCATCAATGAAAGTAACAAAGTATTGAAAACCTAAAGTAGACTTAACGCGGCTAGGTCCCCAAATGTCGAGTGAACCACGGCAAAAGGGGACGAAGCACCACGTGTGAAACTACGAGGAAAGGAAGTACGACTATGCTTGCCTAATTGACATGACTCACACGCCAAACTAGATAAGTTAGACAAGGCGGGGACAAGTTTACGTAACTTGGCAAGACTTGGATGACCTAAGCGAGCATGAAGAAGAGAGGGAGACTCCATAAGCTGTACTAACATGTGTAGAGGGACGGAGATAATAAAGACCATGAGACTCACATCCTGTGCCAATCACTGTTTCGAACTCCGGTCCTGTAAACACACGAATTGTTGGTAAAAGTAACAACACAATCAAGAGAACGAGTTAGACGGCTGATGGACAACGAGGTTAAAAGGAGACCCGGGGACATAAAGAACATTATCAATGGTTAAAGAAGGAAAAAGTTTAACCGTTCCAACACCATGAGATGATACTCTAGAGCCATCGGCCGATGTAACGAGAAGGTAAATGATTAGGAGAGGATAAAGAGGAGAACAAAGATTTGTTACCGGTAATATGATCGGTGACTCCTGAATCAAAAACCCAAGGACCAGGAGAAAATGATTGGGTCGGACCAGCAAAATATGTATTTGTATGTGTGACGGATATAGTGGAACTAGAAGGCTGTTGATCCTTATACCATTCGAGAAATTTGTTGAACATAGCGGACATGTCGGATGCAACGAGAAGAAGGAAGATCCCTACGAGATAAAGGTGGGGAAAGATTGGTCCGAACAACTACAGCGAGGCTGAGGAGGACGACCATGTAATGTATAACACTTGTTAATCTTGTGACCTAGCTTGCCACAATGTTCACACTTAGGACGCCCTTTTTCTGTTTGCGAGGGCGAGCCCGGTCATCACGATGGGATGTCAACACAAAAGAATCGTTAACAAAATTGGAAATAGTGGAAGAAGTCATGAAGAGCGGGAGAACAAACCACTGGCCAGAGACAAGCAAAATCATATGTCACCGGTAAAAAAAAATGAAACTCCGGCGAATTCTCCGACAGCGGCGGACCGGAGGCTGCTCCAGCGGCGGCGGTGACGATAACGTGAACTAGTACACTAGGTAAGTTCCCAGGAAAGAGAGGTGGGTCACTAATGGACACACTTAAATACCAAGTCTTTCCTTGTCGAACTTTCCTAAACATGCACTTTCACACTACCAAATAAAATTCAATGACAAAGATAATTCTTTTCGATGTGGAGGATCGGTTTACCAGCGGCGGTGGGGCGGCTTTAGCGGCGGTGGGAGGCTCTAGCGGCGGTGGGGCGGCTCCAACAGTGGACAAAAGGCGGAAAAAAAATAAATTCAAGAGAACCTTAAGCTCTAGATACCATGTTGAATATAGAGAAAATATGGTTTGGAATTAATTTCCCTTGTGTATAAATCACACATAGGGTAGTCTATTTATAGTAGAGATATACAACTAAAAGAGTAACTGAAAGTAACAGAATAAACAGAAGATATTGTTTGATATTGTGGTTACCAATATCTAACAATATCTTAACAATATCAAATAATATATAAACAATATCTAACAAACACAATCAGGGGTTTCAGTTTCTAGGATAAATTGGACATTATTTGTGGACTGACTTATTCCAGATTTCACCGAAGTTTCAAGAAATAGGAAGATATTTCACACCCCTAAGTTGGGTTTTGACATAATTTCTCAACAAATTCAAACCTAGCCAAACTATGGGATAATGAAATCTTACACCAGCGTTGCTTTGGGCTTGAAAGTTCAAGCTGTAAGCTGAAGAGGTCTGAATGGTTTAATATCCCTAACACTTCCGTCCATGCAATAACCTTTTGGCCTAGAAGCTCATTTGTGCTGCTCAGGAATTTTTTTAAAATTAGGGTTGTACGGAGAGGGAAATATGGGGGTTGGTAAGGTACATTTTTTAGTTATGGGTTTGTCTAGGAAGATGCAGAAATATGGATTATAGTTCACTGAATCATACTTGATACTATAAGAGGTATAAATAGGAAAGGCAAAATAAATTTGTACAGTAATATAGTGCTGATAATCGGGAGAATATTTTGCCTATAAATGCTATAATTAAATAAGGAATATAATGCAGATTCCAATTCCAATTACAATTAATGTTAATATAAACTCGATTCCTTCAGAGCTGTGACTCTTATTGATTTAGGCAATCTCCCACAGAAGAGTTTGATGAACAGAAATCTGATGCTAGGCCTAGAGCGGTCAAAAAGGCCACCGAACTTAGCCTGACTTGTATTTTAAAACGGACCATAATTTTTAGTTTAGTTTTGTCTTATGTTAGACCAATGGGGTAATGGGCAAATTTTGACTTGATTATATATATGTTAAAAAATTATTTAAAGAAAAATAAGTAATAAAAAATTTAAATTTAAATTATATTAATGAAATTAGTTTTTATTTAATAATTTAACATATAAACTATAAGAGAAGATCCATTAAATCCTAAAACAAGAATTAAAACTTACTATTCATTATCATCATTTATTTTTTAGTAATTTATTGATCTAAAATAGTAATTAATCTTAACTATTAGATCTTGGAAGAAGTGGTTATCATAATCTTATTCTAATATTTACTTTTAGGATAAGTGAATCTTTTATTAAATTAATTTATAAATCATATATATTTTTTAATAAAATAATATCAATTTAATTTTTATTTTAAAAATAATTATTATTTTATAAAGCGGGCAGATTTCTTAATCTATGGATTAGCCTGACCTAAGCCCATATAAATCATGACTTATTTTTTGGATCTTTCGGGCCGAGTTATTGGACTAGTCCTATTTTGACACCAATAGCTAGACCAGAAAAAGATAATGCTGCTGCAATACGCACTCTAGGATGTTCAATAGTCTTGTGGCTCAGCTAACAATTATATTTAATGTGCGGCACATGATATGCTTGTGGTTATTTATTCTAACATACATCACTCATTAGAGGTGTTATTCTATTAACCATTTGAGGCAGGTATTATATTAACCTCATTGAGTTCGGATCTAATCCCTCACCACTATTCTTTATGACATAGGCCGTTTTAATGTGGAGCCAGCTAACAGTAATCCATGTAGATCTTAACATATGTAATTCAGGTGCTTATGTCATATGATATTTAAATATCTGCTTGCTCAGGTGAAAATTAAAGAATATAACATTTTCATTAATATGTGGAAAATTGCATTTTATTGAGAAGAGTCTCAAGCAGATCGAAGCGTTGGAGAGAAGAAACCTAAATTATCAGGGGAAGATAGGCCTTCTATTACAGAGTTGAGTGGATACAGTTTTAAGAGAGAGGAATTTGATGTTGAATACGACAATGATGCAGAGCAAGTGTTGGCAGATATGGAATTTAAGAACACTGATACTGAAGCTGAACATAAAATGAAACTGCACGTGCTCCATATCTACTCAAAAAGGTATGAGTACCTACACATTTGGCGAAGAAAGATAGCTTCTCATTCTTCTGTATAAAGCAAAACCATATTGGTTTATTAAATTATTCCTAGATTGTACCACTCTCTCTTAGAAATGCTCTTGGAAGAAATTATATGGTTTAGATTGATGATTTGGTTTAACTGAACTGCTTTTCGGAACACCCCTACATAAGTATATAATACTTCTGGACAGGTTAGATGAAAGGAAGCGCAGAAAGCATTTTATACTTGAAAGAGAGTTACTTTATCCTGATCCTTTTGAGAAATCTCTCTTGCCTGAAGAGCTTGAAATATGTCAGCAGTACAAGGTGTTCATGCGGTTTCACTCAAAAGAAGAGCATCAGGATTTTCTAAAAAATATTATTGAAGAACACAGGCTTGTCAACAGAATACATGATTTACAGGTATTGCATTCTTCTACAGACTATGATGATCTCATCATGCTTAATCTAGAGATATTGTCGCTAGTTTTTTTTCTATAGATTACAAAGGTGGTTGTATACTACGATAATAAATTTTGAATGAAAGCAAGTTATATGCATACATAAATACCCTTTTATTTTAATATATAGTTTTATCTCTCAGCCTTATTTTAATTCCATACTACTACCTTGATGTTCAAAATGATGAGATTGAACATTCTCATACAATAAAAAAAAAAAAAACTGATCTAACTTGTGGACTGATAAAGTATAACTATGCTAACTGTTGTTAAGCGCTTAGTATTGTAGGTGCCTAGTCAGCATTTGATCTAAGTAATTAACTAAGTCCAGTCACGCTGAGCTGTCAGTGAGATCCATAGTTCAGTTAGCTATGTTTAACTAATTAATTCACGTCAGTTATGCTGAGTTGTTAGTTAGATCTATCGCTAGTAAGCAAAGCTTGTAAAGCAAGCTACTTCTCTTTTGTATAAATGCCAACATAACTTCTTCACATAGTAATGCAATAAAATCTCCAATACGACCTGAGATTGACCCAGTCAAGTGAATACTTCCGATATCTAAAGGGTAGACTTTGACTGCTACTTCACACTGCATGCTTATGGCATGCATATATCTTGGTTCAAATTTAATTTCATGTTGGTTTGAAAAGCAAACATTGGTAGCTTGCACCACTGTTGAAGTTGAGTATAGAAGCCTTCCAGCTGCAGCTGCAAAATTACACCGGGATGCAATCTCTGTTATCTGAACACATATTTTTTCATCAACTCCTATCGTTTATTGTGACAATCAATGTACAGTAGCTTTGACTATCATATAATGGTGTTTTGGTACCTGAAAAATATCACAATTGAAAAGTCTCAACATTCTCTTTTGTAAACAATAAGGAAATAGTTAAGAGAGTAAAGAGAATGAAAAGAAGATTTCTAATTTTGTGGGATACAATACTCCACTCTATGATCTCATATATATATATATATATATAGGATTACAACATTTAAAACAACAACCACCAACTACTAACAACCACCAACCACCAACTACTAACTACTAACCACTAAACACTAACTAATAATAATTCTAACACTCCCCCTCAAGCTGGAGCATACAAATTGTATGTACCAAGCTTGGATCAAATAAATTCAATTCGAGGTCCTCTTAAAGACTTTGTCAACGCATCTGCAAGTTGATCATTGGACCCGACAAATTCAGTGCAAATTTCTTTAGACAACAATTTTTCACAAATAAAATGACAATCAAGTTCTATATGTTTGGTCCTTTCATGGAACACCGGATTAGAGACAATGTGGAGAGCTGCTTGATTGTCACAATACATCTTCATCCGTTGGATCTCACAAAATTTTAGTTCTTGAAGGAATTGTTTCACCCACACTAGTTCACAAGTGAGAGATGCCATTGCTCTATATTCAGCTTTAGCACTAGACCGGACCACTACATTTTGTTTCTTACTTTTCCAAGAAATAATATTGCCTCCAATGAGAACACAATATCCTATAGTGGAGCGTCTGTCCATAGGGGATCCAGCCCAATCAGCATCACAATACCTAGATATTTGGGTACCCCCTTTATCTTCATACAACAGACCTTGTCCTGGAGCTTTTTTGAGATATTTTAGGATGTGAACGACAACATTCCAATGATGAGTACGCGGATTTTGCATAAATTGACTCACAACTCCAACGGCAAAAGATAGGTCAGGTCTGGTAATAGTGAGATAAATGAGTTTTCCAACAAGTCTTCTATATCTCTCAGGATCAGAGAGCGGTTCACCTTGATCCGCCATTAATTTCTGATTTGGATCCATGGCTGTTTATTGGTCTACAATCAATCATGCCTGTTTCTTTCAGGATATCTAAAGCATACTTTCTTTGGGAGACTATGATGCCTTCTTTTGATTGAGCCACTTCAATCCCTAGAAAGTATTGAGACAACCAAGATCCTTAGTTTGGAAGTGATTGCATAAATGTTTCTTTAGCAAAGAAATTTTATCAACATCATTCCCTGTAATGACTATATCATCTACATATACAATTAAATAAACACATTTTCCTGAAGCAATATAATAAAAAACAGAATGATCTGCTTCACTTCGTTTTAATCCAAAACTTTGAACAATGTGACTAAACTTTCCAAACCAAACACGTGGAGATTGTTTGAGACCATAGAGAGAACGATGTAACTTACAAACCAAACTAGACTCCCCCTGAGCAACAAAACCAGGAGGTTGCTCCATATAAATTTCCTCCTCAAGATCACCATGCAAGAACGCATTCTTGATATCTAACTGATGAAGAGGCCAATGACGGATAGCTGCCATAGCAAAGAAAAGTCGAACAATAGTCATTTTGGCCACAGGAGAAAAAGTATCACTGTAGTCAAGGCCATAGATCTGAGTATAGCCTTTTGCTACTAATCTAGCTTTGAGTCGATCAACTTTACCTTTTGGTCCAACTTTAATGGCATAGACCCAACGACAACCAACAATCTTCTTCCCATGTGGAAGAGGAATTAAGTTCCATGTACCATTGTGCTCAAGAGCCTGCATTTCATTAATCATGGCTTGTCGCCATCCAGGATGATCAAGTACCTCTTTCACATTTTTTGGAATAGTAATAGTGGATACAGAAGAAACAAAAGAAAAATAGGAAGGAGACAATCTATGGTAGCCAAGAAAATTGTAAATGGGATGTGGATTACAAGTAGAGCGAGTACCTTTGCGAATGACAATGAGCCAACTTGAGTCATCATTATCAGGAATCGTGGTATCAGGGGATGATTGAGAAGGATCTGCTGAGGAAGACTCATCTTGGGACATGGGATTGATCATTTGGCTCCTGTGTTGATAGGTAATAAGAGGCAGTGATGAGGATTCCGGTGTATTTTGTGTGGAATTTTGGGTGTTAGGAGGAGGAGGTACAAATGGCTCCACTAAGGGTATAGGTAGGACATTTTGGACCGAACTAATATCCTGCATAGAAGAAGGGAAGAAGGGAGTTGACTAAAAAAAAGTGACATTAGCAGACATGTAGTACCTTTTAGTTTTAGGAGAATAACATCGATATCCTTTTTGAAGACGAGAATATCCCAAGAAGACACATTTGATGGCTCTAACTGATAGTTTATCTAAACCTGGAGACATATCATGAACAAAACATACGCAACCAAATACACGAGGAGAAACATGAAAGAGTGGGTCCTTTGGCAATAGAATAGAGTGTGGAACTTTATTGTTAAGAGAAGAAGATGGCATTCTGTTAATGAGAAAACATGCAGTAAGAATAACATCTCCCCAATGATGAACGGGCATATTTCCACCAAGTAATAAGGTACGAGCAGTTTCAACCAAATGTCTATTTTTTCGTTCTGCTATACCATTTTGTTGTGGTGTGTGAGGACAAGTAGACTGGTGTAAAATGCCTTGGGAGCTTAAGAGAGTGGAGAAATCAGTAGAAAAGTATTCTTTGACATTATCACTTTGTAAAACTTTGATTACTTTTCCAAATTGATTTTTGATTTCGTTAAGGAAAGACTTAAAGATAGGTAATAATTCAGAACGGTCTTTCATTAGATAAATCCAAGTACACCTAGAAAACTCATCAATGAAGGTAACAAAATATCTATAGCCAAAGGATGAGACGCGACTAGGACCCCAAATATCAGAATGAACAAGAGAAAAGACAGAGTCACATCTAGATTCAGAACGTTTAGGAAAAGAGGACCTAGTATGTTTCCCTAGTTGACATGATTCACATTCAAAATCTTGAAGAGAAAGTTCAGGAACCATTTTTTTTAATCTTGATAAGTGAGGGTGCCCTAACCGTTCGTGTAATAGTTTTGGAGACAAGGATGCAACACAAGATACAGATGATTTAGTCCCAAGGTAGTATAAGCCTTCAGATTCATGTCCTTCGCCAATCTGTCGACCTGTACCATGTTCCTGTATAACAAAAGAGTTGGCATTAAAGGTTACTGAACAATTCAATAATTTGGTTAATTGACTTAGAGAAATGAGACTGAAGGGACATGAAGGAATAAAAAGAACAAATTTTAAGTTTAAAGACGGAGAAATGGAGACTTGACCAGTTCCTTTAGAGGCTACTTTAGATCCGTTGGCTAAGGTTATGAGATGAGGAGTTTTAGGAAATGAGAGAGAAGAGAACAAAGAGGCATTACAGACATGTGATCAAAAGCACCTGAGTCAATAATCCATGGATTTTGACTTTCCACAGATTGTGAAATGCAAGCTGTTGATGAATTTGGGGTTGTTGATGACTGTGCTAGATTACTGGATTTCAACCTCAAATATTCCTGATATTCTTCGTGAGAGAACTTGGGTTCAACCATTTCAGATTTGGAAAAATTGACATTTTTATCAGGAAAACCGTGCAAAGAGTAGCAATTTTCCACTATACGACCCATTCTCTTGCAATGAGTGCACTGAGGACGTCCTCTACCTCCACGTCCTCCTCTAGTGCCGCAACTTCCTCTTCCACGGGTAGAAATCATAGCAGAAGATTCAATAAGTTCTTGATTATTTTTTCTTTGAGAGTTGGAACACGAAGCAGTCTTGTAGTCAAACTTTCCATAGAAGGAACTTCTTGTCTAGTTAAAATTTGATCTCTAACATGATCAAATTCTGAATTCATAGCTCGGAGAGTCATAACCATATAGAATTTATCCAACTTTTGCTTTATCTCCTCTAACGAATCCACCTCTAGGAACATCTTTAATTCTTCAACTGCTGATTGAGCTTCAGCAATAAAGGTCCTCATATCTTTATCCACTTGCTTGAGAGAGGCTAATCGATTAGCGGAATTATAGAGGCGTTGAATATCATTTGCGAAGATATTCTGAGATTTTTTCCAGAAAGAGTTACATGTTTTGAAGGATCTGAGAGTGTTCAAAATATTTGGTTCTACTGATTGCCACTGTAGAGCAGAGTTGATAATCAAGCTTTTTCCATTGTTGAACCTGATCTTCTGGTATCTTACTTCCGTCTTCTTCTAGATGATCGTGAAATCCATGTCCAAGGAACCAAAGTTCCACTGAAGAGGACCAAGACATGTAATTTTTTCCATTTAATTTCTCAGCCGTTATCGTGGGAGTTCCAGAAAAGGAGGTTATGGGCCCTGAAGACATGTTTTAAATAATGTAGATGTAAGATGGAGACAATGGAACCTGTAAGAAAGAGAACACCCAAGATAGCCGGAAGGTTACTGGAAGGTGGTCGGAAAGGCGTCGAACGACAGCAAAAAAAACGGTGACTGGACGAGGGACTGATGATTGCCGAAAAGTGACCGGAAAGTGGCCGAAAAATGATCGGACGATGACCGGAAAATGGTCAGGCGGTGACCGGAAATGGCCAGCCGGTGACCGGAAATGGTCGAACGGTGGCCGGATGGTGGTCGGATGGTGGCCGGACAGGCAGAGCAGGACCAACCTGCTCTGATACTAAGTTAAGAGAGTAAAGAGAATGAAAAGAAGATTTCTAATTTTGTGGGATACATTACTTCACTCTATGATCTCATATATATATAGGATTACAACATTTAAAACAACAACCACCAACTACTAACAACCACCAACTACTAACTACTAACCACTAACAATAATAATTCTAACAGAAATAAAGACTTAAGAAGGCAAAAGTAGGGTGTCAAAGTCGTTTATGGTGAGTCCATATTTGAGATATCTGACTTTCGCTTGTTTTGGCTTGAGGGTAACTTTTGCTTCTCGTCATTTGTCTTTTTGCATTCTAGGAAAATCACCCTACCCTTTAGCAATTAAAATCGTCTTCCTCTTGATAATATCCTAAAAGAGCAAATGAGAATAGAAAAAGGTTATGGAAAAGTTAAAATCTTTTATACGCTGATGTATAGAAATTAGACTATTGGTAAATTTGGAGACATGCACAAACATTATGTAGTAAAAGAGGTGCCTTTAGTCGAACACTTTTCGAGCCAACAATGGGTGCATTATTTCCATTAGCAACTCCACTGAGTTGCTTTTTAGATGCTTTAGAACATAAGGCAAAGCGTACAAGAAAGGGGGTTATGTGATCTATTGCACCTAGAGTCAAGGATCCAAATACCTAGGGGAACAAAGCCTAAGGTATTGAACCAGCTCTTATCCTTCATGGACAAGGTACGCAAGCCAAAAGGCTTACACATTGACTCATTCAGCATCGTGAGGCAATCAATATCTTCCTGTTCAAAGTTGAGATTGGGGAGCTGGTAAAGTTGAGATTGGGAAGCTGGTAAATTTGCTTCATCTTCGTTGACTTTGTGTGGTACTGCCATCTATTTATAGCTCCTTTGCTTTTAAGTGTAGAGATAAAATATAAATTCAATGTGTTTAGACCATAACAAAGCTATTCAATTTATGGGGGAGAGAACATAACTATATGAATTTAATGTGTTTTTAGCCCGTAATGACTTGCTCTAATACCAATTTAAGACTGAAAAATATGATAAAGGAGATTAGAAGTTATGTGTTTAGTTCTATCATAAAATACAGGATTAGAAGTTATGTAAATATTTGCTTAATTATCACAGTGCATTCTCATTTGTTGAATTTCGTAGAACATCAACACTTATAGGAATTGTTTAGTCCATGTGTTCAGAAACGAGAGATGCTATTGTCCTATATTCAGATTCGACACTAGATCGAACAACCACATTTTGTTTCTTGCTTTTTCAAGAAATAATATTGTCTCCAATGAAAACACAAACACATTGGTAGGAGAGATCCTACCTAATGAGTATCACAATATCGAATCATATGAGTGTGTCCCTTATCTTTACATAACAATCCTTGCCCTAAAGTCTTCTTGAGGTGTATCTAAGAATGTAAATAACAATATTAGAATGAACAATACAAGGATTCTGCAGAAACTGACTAACCACTCCAACAACAAAAGACAAGTCAAGTCTAGTAATAATGAGATAGATAAGTTTCCCAACAAGTCTTTTATCTTTCTAGGTAAGGGACAAGTTCACTTTACTTTGCCATCAATTTTTTATTAGGATCCATGAGAATATCCACTAGTCTACAATCAATCATACTTGTTTATTCTAAGATATCTGCAACATATTTTCTAAACGATAACAATACCTTCTTTTGATTGAGTCACTTCAATACCTAGAAAGTATTTGAGCCATCCAAGATCTATTGTTTGAAATTGACTACATAAATGCTTCTTTAGTTGAGAAATTTTATCAACATCATTCCTTGTAATGATTATATCATCCACATATATGATTAAGTAAACACATTTTCCTCTAGAAGTATAACAATAAAAAGGAATGGTTTACCTCACTTTGTATTAGTCTAAAGGTTTGAACAATATGATTAAATTTTCAAAACCAAGCATGTGGAGATTGCTTGAGATCATAGAGAGAATGATGTAATTTATAACCCCAACCAGGCTCCCATTGATGTATAAAAAGAAATAAAGAAAAGAAATGTATAAAAAGGTAATAACAGTCGATGATAAGTCAAAGTAATATAATGGGGAGAGAGATTACGTGTAGAACGGATACTTTTGCGGAGGACAATAGGAATGTCATACTCAGGTGTCAGCGTCGGAGGAGACAGAATAGTTGGCACTTGAGTGGAGTCACATGGTGATGGTTGTGATCGGTTTCAGCGATTATAAACCTAAAGGAGCGGTGAAGAAGCTGATTACGGAGTAGGAACTAATGGTGAAGAAGACACGGTTAGAGGGTCACAAACAATAGGAACATTAAATGTACTAGGAGTGTTGACAGAATTGGATGGAGACAAATGTGAAGATTGACTTTTAAAATAAAGGGAGAACTCATCAAAGGTGACATCTGTATACACAAAGTATACATAAAATAACAGTTAAGAGAAGGAGAAAAACATTTATATCCTTTTTGTGATCTTGTAAATCCTAAGAAAACACATTTATGTGATTTAGAAGAAAATTTGTCAAGACCAAGACTAAAATTATGAACAAAACATGTTGATTCAAAAACTCATAGATAAGGGATGAAAAGGTTCATAAGGGAATATAATGAAATTAGGTATTTTATTATCTAAAACCGAAGAAGGCATGTGATTAACGAGATAATATACAGTAAGAAGAGCATCACCCCAAAAATGTTGAGGAACCTTTCCATGAATTAAAAGAGTGCGAGTTGTTTCAATAAAATGTCTATTTTTACGTTCAGTTACACCATCTTGTTGAGGTCTATAGTACAAAAAGTTTGATGTAGAATACCGTGAGAAGCCATGAATTGTTTAAAAGAATGAGAAAAATATTTACGGCCATTATCACTGCGCAAAACTCTAATAGAAACACCGAATTGAGTTTGAATTTCATTAAAAAAAGATTGAAAGATATGAAATAATTCAGCATGATTTTTCATAAAAAATAGCCAAGTACATCTGGAATAATCATCAATGATAGTAACAAAGTATTAAAAACGTAAAGTAAACTTAATGCGGCTAGGTTCCCAAATGTCAGAGTGAACCATGACAAAAAGGATGAACCGCCATGTGTGACACTACGAGGAAAGGAAGTATGACTATGCTTATCTAATTGACACGACTCACACACCAAACTAGACAACTTGGACAAGGCAGGGACAAGCTGCTGTAACTTGACAAGACTTGGATGATCTAACTGAGCATGAAGAAGAGAGGGAGACTCCATAACTGCACCAACATGTGTAGAGGGACGGAGATGATAAAGACCATGAGACTCACATCCTGTGCCAATTACCTATTTCGAACTCCGGTCCTGTAAACACATAGAATTGTTGGTAAAAGAAACAACATAATCAAGAGAACGAGTTAGACGACTGATGGACAACAGGTTAAAAGGAGACCTAGGGATATAAAGAACACTATCAATGCTTAAAGAAGGAAAAGTTCAACAGTTCCAACACCATGAAATGATACTCTAGAGCCATTAGTCAGTGTAATAGAAGGTACATCAGGGACATAAAGAACATTATCAATGGTTAAAAAAGGAAAAATTTAACAATTCCAACACCATGAGATGATACTTTAGAGCCATCAGCCAGTGTAACAGAAGGTAAAAGATTAGGAGAGGATAAAGAGGAGGACAAGGATTTGCTACCACTAATGTGATTAGTGACTCCTGAATCAAAAACCCAAGGACTAGGAAAAGAAGATTGGGTCAGACCAGCAAAAGATGTACCTGTGTGTGCGACAGACGCAGTGGAACTAGAAGACTGTTGATCCTTATACCATTTGAAATTTTTTTTGAACATAACACGTGTGTCAGATGAAACAAAAGAATGAGCGAAAGAAGTCATGGAGGTATAACAAATCCTAAAAAAAATTCAAAGTAGTCCAATCAACCCACGTAGCACAAATCCAAAATGAGAAGATCAAAACACGTCCGTTGAGACTAAACGACGCTGGAGACAACGGACGACCAACTCCGATAGTGGTGATCTCAACTGTACGGTGGTCGCCTGACCCAGAAGAGCAAAATCATATGTTGCTGGTAAAAAATGAAACTCCAGTGACGGCTCCGACGACGGCTTTGGCGAAGGCTATGGCAGCGGTGACGACTTCGGCAGCAACGGCGGTTGTGGTAATGGAAAAAGGTGAAAAAATTTCAAAATAACCTTAAGCTCTAATATCATGTTGAATATAGAGAAAAATAGGGTTTGGGATTAATCTCTCTTGTGTATAAACTACACATAGAGTAATCAATTTATAATAGAGAGAAATACAACTAAAAAGAGTAACTAAAAAATAAATAGAATAAATAGAAGATATTAGTTGATATTGTGATTAGCAATATTAAACAATATCTAACAATTTCTTATTCTTAACGTGGAAATTTGAATTTGGAAAAAAATAATGTTTGGTTGCATCTCTACCTTCAACTTTTTTTTTTTAATTAACTCGACAGTTGTGTTGTCAAGAAATTGATTTTTCACCATCTGATGTAAAAGTAAGGTGCAAAATTTTAAGAAGATAAGGTGCAAAATTTTAAGTAATAAAGTAAGCGAACTCAAGGAAAATTTTCACTGGACATTAAGATAGTTGCCTATCTAGATGTGAAGGTTCATTTCTAAGGATTATGGAGGGAGGAGGAGATGGAATGAAACTAGAAAAGAATAAAGGCAAGGGCTGGAAAAATGGACCAGCCCCTTGGATAAATAAATAGAGTGAAGAAATAAAGAAGAAAAGATGAAGAAAAGAAAAGTATGGTGGTGGTAGGGTGTTGGCATGTCACTAGAAGATGAGTCACCCTAGATAAGTGGTGGTTGCCGCCACTTGAACTAAAGTTCAAGATAAGACACTCAAAGAGATGAAACACTCTAAGAAATCTCACAAACTTGTCATTAATGTTCAATCTCATTACATGAGGGGAAGTCTTCTATTTATAGGCTTTTGGGGGAGGGACCTAGATGAAATTACAAAAACAAGACATAAACTTAACCTAAACCTAAAGGCTAGAGTCCCCATGGTCCAAATATGTTAAATTCGTCCTAGCCCACCAAAAATACCTTTAAAGGTGTGGAGAACATAAAAAAAGAAGTGTGCTTCCTTTTGAGTTGTCTCAAGCCTACCAATCCCGCATCTTAAGCTTCTTTCTCTCCAAAAAGGGGTGTAGCCCATGCAACCATCCTATATGTGTAAGCCTTCTTTTCCACTAAAAAGAGGTGGTGGTCTTCAAAAAGGAGGTGTATAAAGTGGTCTTACAAAAAAAATGCGAAAATAAGTTTCTAAAATTTAAGAAAATTAATGCTAAGAAAATTCAAAGTGAAGGGTGAGAAAGAGGCCTCCCTTTTAGTCATGCTCCTAGTGATCTTCCATAGGATGACCTCTCCGATCTCTGGGGCATCTAGAGACTCATCATCCTCCCCGCCTTGGAGAGCCTTGGAAGGGTTTCTCTCTGGTTTTTCCTTTTCCTTACCCTTGTCCTTCCAATTTGAGCTATAGTAGTCATTATGCGAATAACTCCTTTTAGCCTCATCTTTTCTTTTCAATTGAGTTTCGATTTTTAGGGCAAGATGTAAAACATTTTCAATTGAGGAATATTCGTATAATTCTACTAAGTCATGGATATCTCTTCTAAGACCACTAACAAACCTAGCTACCTTAGTCTCATTAGTTTCGTCATGCATACCGACCCTAAATAGCAAAGATTATAGCGTCTTGAAGTAATCATTCACACACATATTACCTTGTTGAAGCCGTTGGAGCTTCAACAGGAGCTCCCTCCTATAGTAAGAAGGAACAAATCTAGCACACATTAAATGTTTAATGTCCATCCAAGAAGCAACGG